GGCGCCCAGAGTGGTATCGTGCGAAATAAGATCAGAGAGACTGGCACCTCTCCAGGTGCGAGTCGATGACCGAACACTGATCCTCGTTGTAAACGTATACGCTACTACCAGCGCCTACGACGACGCCGTTTTCGAGGACTTCTAATATTACCAAATATCAGCCACCCGCACAAAACTCCGCGGTGTCAGAGTTATCGTCGCCGGCGATTCCAATGGTGTCACCAGGTGGGCCATCCCGACGATTCGTGATTCCACACGGTCGTAAGACCGCAACCCTCATGGTGAGGTTGCAACCGGGTACGCCGCGGGAGAGGCTGTTTTGGCGAACACTTTCTTCCAGAAGCGACAGGGGCGGCGGTGAACTTAGCGCACTCCCAATGGGGTAGGCGAACACACGCTGGCTCATATCCTAGCAGGGAGCCTCAGGTATTTCGACGACGTGACGGTCATCAGCTAGTCGCGGTTCAATATCGGATCCGACCACAGGTTGTTCAGGGCAACGTTCAAAATATGCGGAAAATTAAAGCGGCGGCTCAGGGCAATAGCCCAGCAGCCTAACATCAAGACGAAGCTTGATTGAGACGTCATTGGACTGCTACTCCCCACGTTATGCAAACCCCTTAGAATATTGCCACCGCTAACGACGAGTATGGAAATCTGTTGGTGGAGGTTGACCGCGTCATAACAAAGGTCACAGCACGCGTCACTTCCAAACCACGACCGCGTCTGAATCCCGAGACGTTAGAGCTGCTGAAGACGAGAAAGGGAGGAAAGGACAAGGAAAGGACACGAAGCAGCTCAAAAAGACAAGCGTTAAAAGGACTATCGGGAGATCAGATTGAAGACCACTTGCCCCGATTCTCTGGCCAGGCCTGACGGCACCGTAACATACAGCCTATAGGAAATGCCTATAGGCTACTTTTACAGCAACCTCTTTGGCAGCCAAGTAAAGGTGGAGCCTACCCAGAGGCGAGCGTGTGACGGATCAGACGAAGGCATTCCACCGATCCTACGAGCGGAAACTGGCTGAGAGGATAGTGGACCCTCTCCGCTTGTTGTTCGACCGCACACTGCGTTAAGGAGCAATCCCGAGCGCCAGGAAGGGCTCCACTGCACTGCTCATTCAAAGAAAGGACCGCAGCACGATCAGAATAACTTACGCCCTAGTCTTTTATCCCAGGTGTTTAAGGAATTCTCCCGCCTCATCCTCAACAGAATACACCGCTGCACCGACGAGTACATCAGTGTAGAACAGAGTTTCCGTTCATGCTTTTCCACTATTGACCACATTCACGTAATTTCAAAGTTGACGGAACGTTGACGCGAGTCAAGGTCAGTCCTTACTTTTCGAAAAGTTTCCTACGACCCCCCCCCCTTTCCCGATCAATTTTTACCCCTATATACGCGCGATGAAACGGCCAATTTTCTCCCGCGCCGCTCCCCTCTCATCACATGCCACTTCTTACAACCTAAGCAAGTACGACCCCCTCTTCAAACTCACCAAAATACGACCCCCCCCTGTTGCTACTTGTAGCAACATAGGGTTGACCCTGACGCGAGTACCGCGCCCCACTGTCCCACTGCCTTCTGTTTAACGAATTCAAAAAGCCCTTTGACCCAGTACAACATGAGGGGTGTACAATGCCATGCGCGTGCGTATCCCGAACCCTATATTATTAGGTCGGTCCATAAGTCTTGCAACAAACTGGCCAAATTTTGAATTTTAAATTTTCATTATCTTTTTGTTCCATTCATCCGGCATGCTACCCTCCATCAATATCTACAACCTATTGCCAACACACTAGTAGCTGTTCGATGCCTCCCTTGTAGGACTCTACTGAATTCTGATCGAAGAAAGATCAGATGTCGATGGTGACATCATCATAGTTAGGATGAGCTTTCTACTCTAGGGGATGGTTTGGAGAGGGGAGCGGAAGGGCATTATTTGCCACGAAGTCAGGGCTATAACGTGAAGAGGGAGGAACTCTCCGTCCCAGAGTCTCGAACTTTCTTAGCAAGAGGTTTTTTAACGGTGTCATACAAAAGCAAACTTTGCCTTGTTTTTCTTTCGTATAAGCGTTACATTCGAGCTGTGGATAGTTAACTTTCGTGTTGGCTGCGACATCTACACGGAGGAGTTTCTAGAGCTCAGCTCCTCCCGTGTTTCACCAAAAATCCGAGAAGGTCCTACTCGAGGTTGAACTTAAGCAATAAGATCTTCCGAAGCGTTTGAGCTGGACTACCGTCGCTTATTCATTTGTTAGTAAACTGTACCCACTCCCCATCTTCGGCAAATGTGATGGATGGTCAATCGTAGAATCCCTAATAAGCCGACTTGAACATAACGGTGTCAGATCGTGTTTTGAGCTGAATCGGGCTCAAGGCACGTGAGGACCAATTCTATATTTTCGGATCTTCACAAGTCTTTGGAGATGCGACAGTGCTGTCTCCTTGTCGCATCGGAATCGTTCTAGCAAATGATCGATACTCTATCCAGATCCCTTTTCAACGCCGCAAGATACAGCATCGTGATTGTCAGTCACAGGGTGCTTGGAGTGTGGGTTATTTTCAAATAAAAAAAGGCAACGCTGAGCTGAGCGAAGCGCCGTTGCACTGTGGTTTGAGAGAGCTTGCCCTCGTCTATCTTCTGGCCAATCCTTGGTCTAGCATGACTTGCGGAACATTCCAAGCAGTACTCGTAAAAATTAAGGGCATCGGGAGCCCCCTCGCGAAATCGGTGTAATATGCATAATAGGTAAACAGACACCGAGCTGGACCGTTGGCTAAAATTGCAAAGGTAGATGCTACGTCAGGAAATATGTTGCGGATTTTCAGGAGTTCTCTCTAAATTTCTATAGCATCAAATGTAGTTTGTTGCAAGACTTATGGACCGACCTAATAGAACCACGCGGCAGTGCAAAACGGACTACTATACCGATACTCATCAAAACACTGGTCCGTGCTCGAATTCGGAGCGGCGTCAGACAAGGCGAGGTTATATCCCCAACTTGTTCGCTACTGCGCTCGAGAACATCATGAGGCGAATCTCGTTGCCCGGAGGAGTGAACATCGAAGGCGTCCGCTCAGCGCATCTCTCTCCGCCGATGATTGTGTACTGGTAGGCGAAGACTCCGCCGATATTGCGCAATCCCTGAGTCTCATCAGGCAAAATGCCGGCATAATCAGGCTCCAAATTCATTCCAGAAAGACTCAGCGGATGCATAACGGACAAGTTCACTACCAGCCGATCCTCCTAGAAGGTCAGGAGATCGAGTAGTCATCTGCTCCGTGCATCTCGGCAAAGCAGTCAAGATGTACAACGACCTTACGCTCGATATCAGAAGACGCCGCAGAGCGGGCTGGACTGCTATCAACAAGCTCCGAGATGTACGCTGAAACTTAGGCCCAATGTCCACGTCTTCAACTCCCATATCTTCCTGCAACGACGTACGGAGCGGAGACATGCAGCACCACAGTTTCTGAAAGGAGAACTCGCAGTCACAAAGCGAGCTATGGAGAGGGCCATGTGCGGGCAGCGCTCTGAGACCGCATTTCCAACGACACCATTCGCGCTTGTAGGATGGATAGGGATGTCGTGGATGCCATCTACAATTCCAAGCGGAGGTGGGCCGGTCATGTGGCTTTGACTCACCGATGATCGTTGGACCAAGAGAGTGACTGACTGCTATCCAAGGAGGAAAACAAGGCCCAGAAGAGGAACCCCACCCGATGGTAAGACCCTCTCGTAAAATTGTACGGCCAGCTGTGGCGCAGAAGAGCCCAAGAGAAAGAGAGCGGCTTGGAAGATGTGCGAACTGCGTTTCTGGCGTGGGACGAATAGCGTCAAGTAAAAAGTAGGAAGCAAGAAGTAAGTGTACGCAGTGGTCTGCGCAACGAATTGAGAAATTCATGTATGTTTCATGTATGAATTGTTAATTTCATGTTACCCGTATATAATATAAATAGAGCACCCAGCCGGAAACAAAGTCAACAAAGCAAAGATACTACACATACAGGGTGGCCACAAATTACGGTAACAAAGACATGCCGCAGACACTTTTAAATTTATCCTTACCGTCTTTTGGCTTTATGTATGGAGTGTTTGTTTCAATCACATCGACGCTGATCCCATGATTCACCCGTGTAAAATGTGAATTTCGGATCCCTCAGGCCTTCACCTCTTCACAAATTAAACAGTCGTTGCAGCACCAACCTATTTGATGGTATTTATCAAGGCGAAGCTGTATGAGAGTAAAATTACCAACTCCTGTCTCGATTTTGTAATGGGCGTTATTCCTCGATATCTTTAACCACTGAGAAAAGTTGCAATTGACTCACATCTTATCAAGAAGAGGTGAAAAATCTACGCTAATCACTTCAGTCCTTCCATCAATACCGTATAAAGCGGCAGACTGAGTAGGTTTCACATCGGATGTCGGAGTGAACGACACCGGCGGTGTTCATAAAAGTTAGCATGAACATTACCCTCCAAAGTTAAATGAAGTGACGAACCAAAGAACTTCGCAGGAAATTGCTGGATATCTAGGCAGGACAGAGCCCGCATTGTCGCGAAAGCGCACGTTACTGTCAAAGGCGGGCCCAATGGGCGGGGCCTCCGGGCAAGTGTATAAAAGGGCTCTGCCATGCCAGTCAGGGCGTCAGAGTCGGTTGTCGGTCGTCAGTCAGCAGCTCTACGGGTCATTCTAGCGCCGTTTCTTGCGCAGCCGCCCATCTTCTGTCAAGCCAGTGTAGCTCAAGCACCCCGATGGCCTAGGGACTGGACAACTATTAACCGGTAAGGAAGAAGCGTACGGATGAACCCGCACGTGCATTACGATTGTGATTTTAAATGTGTTAGAGCGTAAAAGGCTTAGGTAACGAGTTTACATGACACGACCACATAATGTGCACACATTCATAGGCATAGGATTCATCAAATCCATAGACAGGTGCATCGGCGGTAATCGAAACCCGGCCGCCCGCGTGGCAGAGCGAGACATTTACCACTGAACCAACCGAGTCAGAGTTATGAGTCAATTGTAATTTCATATTCATTGGTCGATTGTTGGAAAACTGAGCATCGTACGTTCACGGCACTTGAAAAAAAATTGCCCACTTCGGCCGCCTACAGTGTCGCGAAAGCGCACGTTTACTGTCAAAGGCGCCCCCAGGGCGGGGCTCCGGGCAAGTGTATAAAAGCTCTGCTATTGCCAGTTAGGGGCGTCAAGAAGTCGGTTGCGGTTGATCAGCAGAAGCTCACGGTCTGGCTAGCGTCCTGGCGCAGCCGCCATCTTCTGATCAAGCCATTAGCTCCAAGCGCCCCGATGGCCCCGAAATGCACAACTAGGAACGGTAATAAGAACGTACGATGTTCCCCTACGTGCATTATCGATTGATTGTAAATGTGTTAGAGGTAAAAGGTTTAGATTATACGAGTTACATGACTCGACACATATGTGCACACATTCATAGGCTAGGATTCATCAAATCCTAGACACGCATATAAAGGGAAAGTTGGGCAAAGGTGGTGCAAGCAGATCTCCCTGAAAATCACTGCGTCTAAGGGTAGTTCTCCCCTCATGACTCGGAGGATCACTATGTACGACGTGACCTGGAGAGAGCCTGCTCCGAGCGTCATCGAAACTTCAAAGAGCTATCCTTGAAGAAAGCTTTGGATGAGCTCAACACCGCCTGACTACATGCATGGTAAGTGGGTTCCCCTGAAGACTTCGCTTCTGAGTCAATGGAGACAGCGGCCACTTTGAGAAGTACCTTTGTTTTTGTCCATTAACCTCCAATCAAAATATTTCTGCTGTTCACTCGCCTCATTTCAGCTCTGTCGACTTTTCATGACCACATTACTTATTAGCGTAGTTTGTGCCCACCCAGTACACTGCACAAACAGCATGAACAATTTACTTACCTTCTCTTCTGTTTCTTCCTCATCTTCCTCCGACGATGATCCGTGATGCTTCATAGTCTTTTCCTCCTGCAGCGAAAACAAAATCGTGCAGCAAAACAATGTACGCTAGTTACTCGGAAAATTAAAGAACGCTGGCCACCATCACGAACGAGTTATGCTTTCTGAGCCTTTTCAACTACACCTCCCAAGATTCCGTAGAGCAAACAAACCCTGAGGGCTAAAGGACTTCTAAGGAGTGAATCCAAAATATAGAAAAGACAATTATTTTCAGAAGCTCATGAAACAATAGTGGTAGTTTTTGGACCTGACAGAAGAACGTAGAATTAAAATTACCTTTCGACTCATTTTCTTCCTTCTGTTGGGTTTCTCACTTCCATTATCTTCCGATCTCTTCTCTTTCCCTTCTTTTTCTCCTTTCGAATTCTGGAGAAAGGCATTACAGAAGCAAATGATAGCAGAGTTTGAACAAAACAACAGGTAGAAAAAAGCATCAACATACAGCTTTTTCTGAAATTTCTTTGTCTGACTCATCAGCTGAGGAAGAACTTGACTTGTTTTTACTTCGTACACTGTCCCTCGATGAACTGTCGGTTGAGAGTTTCCTTTTCTGAAGACGGTTTATACTTACGTTTATACGTTTACACGTATGCGAAGCCAACAAGAGCTTTAACCAGACGGTACCCTAATCGGAGACACCTAATATGTAAAAGGCTTCAAAATCACATCAATAGAAGAGAAACGACAATTGGCATCATTAGACCATGCACGTATAAGAGAGCATATGAGATCAAAATGCTAATGATCAAAGGTAAAGATGAGAGAAACGGAGACGAGATGCACCCTACGCAGTAATTCAGTTTTAGTAAATACATGCAAGCGATTGAAAGCGTATAACACTGGGCTCTTCGGAAAAGTTCCGCCGATTTTGACCTTTAAATTTAGAAGCGCATATCTCGGTCCAAGCAGAGCAACTTTGATCATGATGAAAACTAATTTAATCCCCATATGTCTGCCTACTAGAAGTAAGTTTAATTGATCTGGTTGTTGAAAGTGCAGGAATTAGATCAAGAAGTCGGCAAAGGTCGTTTCACTATAATATTGGGTTTCAATCTCCAAGGAGACCTCCCAGATGGTTGGAAATTGACAGTTGGTAGGCAAAATGTCTGGTATGTAAAAATGATTGCACGCAGCACAATTTCGCAGCTCAGCTAACTCACGTTGTGTACGATTGGGAGTGCGAGATGGGGCCGCGCAACAATGGGTACAAAAGTCGGCGACACACAGTTGTCAAATTCTTTGGGCGTTTTAGCCTCACTTCTATGTTTGGAAACCTTATGTCGGTTACGCCAAACACAGAAGCCGCCTGTTCAGCAGTTCCATGGAGATTTGATGGTCAAAATCCTCAGCTGATCTTATCAGATTCTGATATCCGACCTTCACCCCAATCTCCTTCAAGGCTTTCAACATACCAAGAAAGGCATTTTGAATCATGACTGCACAACGTATTTCTTGTGGATTCATGACCAAATGCTCAGTTGATATCGCACCTTGCTTCCGCGCATTTCCAAGCAAGTTCGAAAAGAAACAAGAAATTAGTACAAAGCATGCTGCTGAATATGTTGTATTCAAGACCTCAAAAAACAAACAGGAAAAGTGCTACAGGGTCAACGAAAGCGGTACTGATGTATAGGGGAGGGAACGCGCTAACGATAAATATAGTGCTCCCAGTTTCTTGAAAATGTCACAGAAATAAAACATTTAAGAGCCACTAGAAACGGCGGAAACTTTCCGAATAGCCCAATACTTTCGACAAAAAATAAGAAAAACAAATAACTTATAATCCTTCTTCGGAACACAGGAATCGCAGAACACAATGGATTACTCAAAAAAGAGGTAGCGATAAAAACTTTCACACCTTTTCCGTTTCCAAATCGTCTTTCTTGTTTCGGTATTATCCGGTGATGAGGTAGACGGTTTGCTTCCTTCTTTGTCGGAGCCGCTCTGAAACAGAAATAATCAAAGTCATGACTACCGATAAAACACAGCGATGACACAAGAATGCTACGATATTACGCAAGAAAAAAACCAATAAAGAGATTGAATAGAATTGTTGAATAGAAGTTGAACAGAAGTGTTGAATAAAAGAGTTAGGATATGAAGCCAAACCTCTGATCCAGCTCCGTTGACCACTTCACCCTCTCCTCCTTTCTCATTGATCTGAAAGCCGACGAAGCACTTTTTCGACACTCTCAAGGTGAAAAAAATCAGAATAGGACGAAATAAAGCCTGAAAAAGGCGAGTTACCTCTCTAGAACTGCTCTCTTCCTGATTGAACTCTGTGTCTTCTCTCATCAATGCAGACGCCTTTTCATCCGCGTTGTCATCTCCATCACCGCCTCATTTCGCCCAGATGGAATCTCGTCACTATCGAATTCATCCCTCTAGGGCTAAATAATAATAAGGATTAGCGACAACAATGAGCGCTTGTCCCACTCCCGCACAAGAATGCAGTTCATAACTAAAGATTCAGTTAACTCTCCTTGAGATTGAGAACTATGTGAACTACAAAGCCATTCCTAACAATACTGTACAAGTATTAGGATATTCCAAAAATCGTGTCATTTTCTTTTCATGGGGTCCACTCTTTTCAACCGAAAGCTCTATCAATATCGCAGCACCAGAGAAAGTGACTCTTGACAATAGGCGACCTGAGAGTTTGTATTTTTCTGCAACATGGCTGTTGAAACGAAGAACATAAGGCATTACGGAGGATAGTCAGCGCAGTACTTTGCATTGAAGTTCCGACTAGGCTTCAACGATCTACACTTGCATCACCTTCCAAACCTGGGGTCTCGTCTGGTAAGCCAGATACTATTTCAGTAGGTATGGGTTGCTCGAGTTTCACACCAGTGTTCGCTGTTGATCACAGTATATACCTGCTGAATCGGTACAGGAACAGGTTTCGGACGGGCTGCTCTTCTGAGAGCAAATCTCTGGAGTGTTCTGTGATGAGTGAAAATTCCAATCCTATGCGACTTTTGCAGGCTCGAATCGCAGCGATTAGGCCTTTCATGGTCGGCCATCTGATCGGTGTGGGACTATGGATCGCACCTACTATTTCACACGGCAGACTTTCGAAATCACACGAGGGCAGGCACGTATTGTTTGAATTCGCATTGGTTAGGCTGCGTTTAGTCTCTTCTCAGGTGGAGTCACCTAAAATTGGCACCACTTATTCGCTCAAAGCAAGCTTAGAAACTATGCCTAGCACAAGCATAACTTAGCTCCAGTGATCGCGCAGCTCTAGTACCAGACCTGGGGAGGAGAACTAAACGTCTCTCCATTGCGTAGATGTGAATCGAACGTTCGACACACTGATCATACCGACCGTATGAACAACTATAAAGAGCCCTATAAGAGTATTACCAGACGAGCATATTCGAACTATTGTAATGATAACATTTTTGACCGCTTCGTGAAAGAACGGCATTACTGCGGAAGAGCGAATAAGAACTTAAAAACCAAGAAACTTTAGCGAAGCGCGCTTTTCCACAGCTTGCCCACACCTTGTGTTCAACAGAAAACAGTGAGCTCTTTCATTCTATAAAATAGAGGCTATTATGAAAATGCTCACGGGCTTCCTCTTCTTACGCCTCCTCCTCTTTTGATCGCGATCGCTCTCCTCAGATTCCTGTAGATAAAAAACTGATAGTATTTATACATCTTTGTTCTACGCTGTTGGGAGCGGAAGATGAACACAGCGAGCTGAGAGATGGTGGGCGCTGAGGGAAACTTCGATCACGAGAAAGCATTTGACAGTGATAGGATGCAGATGAGATGGACCCGCGGTTTAGCTCAATAACGTCGCTTTTAAGATTTCTTCTGTCTCGACGACGCCTCGTATCGCATCATCTACGGTCCCTGCTCATGTCAGCTTATTCCAAAAGTTTACTTGTCTAATTGTTGGGTTTATTCTTCAATATCTGTTAGCTACACATGAGTGGGGTGGCCCCTGAAGCGGACTGCTCCCATTTGAAACACACAGACGCTTTCTAGATGGATCAGTTCTTGACTCGTGCCGGTTTCAACGAATAGCAGCGCACATAAGAATATAACGTGGACCATTTAATGTTGACTCACACTCTCACTGGAGTCCGGTTTCAATCTTCCTCTTCTTCACATCCTTCTTCGGCCTAAAGGATACATTGAGATAATACCTCAGTAACAGAAACTTGAGAATACTCAGACATAAATCACCCACAAAGGGATATGAAACACGTAATATGGGGTTTAAACGGAGGCTGATTCACACTAAACTGAATTTCTTACGCAAAGATTGTCGATATTAAAACAGGAAGAATTGGAGTAGATAGTACAAGATCTTTCAGACCCGTGTATCATAAAGGTACATGAGAAAGGAAAAGAGGATAAGAATTGCTCTCAGAATGTGCAAAGTGGGAGATTCGATAAAAAGTTAGGTAATGCATACCACCTCCGCACTGGTCTTAGCATATAGGTATTCTACAGGACAAAAAACATCATATTCCACAAAAAAGTACCTTATCATCAAATAAGTTACTATGAAATGATCCCAAAGAAAAAATCTATAATAATAGGATAAAAGCACAAAAAGCACAATTCTAGTTGGAGAGAGGGGCACGAGATAAAAGTTTACCAGCCGACCACAGCAATCCCACTTAAGGAAAAAGTGGGGGAAGCGCTGAGGTGATTAGATTTCCTTGTGAAAATGAAGTTAGGTCAGTAATAATTTTTCTTAATCTTCTACAGACTGTTTGTTAAGGTTTTGAATGCGTTGGCTTCTCTGCAGCAAGATGAAATCCCATTTCCGTTCCCTCCTCCCAAACACATGAGCGATCATATATAAACCAATGTTATGGTAAGAGCTAACCTTCTCTTATCAACCACTTCGCTCTTTTGCTTCACCTTTTCTGCAACAACTGCGAGTGGTACGTCATCATCGCTCGATGACATATCCTGCAATAAAATCGATATAAAATTGAACCACGATTTCTGTCGCCTATGGAATTGATTTATAGTTGCTTTTTTTCTTCAGCGCACACAAAACACCTTATATCTCCTCAACTGACCGAGTGATGTACGTAAACACCAGCCGGTCAACTGAGGAGATCTGCACTCTAAAGAAGATAAGTTAAGAACGGAACAGAATATACAACTAAGAGAGCATTGAAAACAACAGTGAAGAAAAACAGAAAAGGGAGAAGAGTTGAAGGGGGTTTCTGGTAAACAGATGCTTACTCAAGGTGAAAAGAAAAACAACTATGTCCTGCCAGCGCTTAGTTACTCAAGAAACAAGATGGCGCCGCATGCCACCCACCTCAACCATAGACAGGAAGAGGCAGTGGAGAGGCTTCTTCCTCCACACTGAAACTTGAATTAACCAGCCTTTGTTGAACCCAGACCAGATGCATCCAACTGGAAATTGGAGAGCACATTCGAATATATCGAAAACAGAATTGTATTCTACGCGGGAACAGAGAAATTGCCTCGGGGGACCATGGACCATAAAGACGTCTCGGAAACTAAGCGACAAAAGTCTTGCAGTTCAGAGCCACGTCTTTAGCAAACTATCCATCAGCGAACATAATTAAAAAATTAGGTACCTGCGTTAAACTGGGGCAAGTACTGTAGGCCACCTTGAACTCGACGGCGACGGCGAGCGGCTTCATATTCTGGAGGATAGGCAGTGAACTAGGCTGACTTCGGCTTATTAAGGGACTTTTCAAGAATGTGTTGCCGTAAGTTTTCCATCAATTGGGGCACGCTGCGTGAGAAAATTCGCCGAGGTGTGCCATGTGCAATATGTCTTTTTGTCCCCCCGTACTTGCAATGACAATTTATGAACCCGAAAAACCCGAATTTCGGTAGCCCGGGTCGCGGAGTTTACTACTCCATAGTTGTAGCTCCTTCTGTACATCTTGAGATTCACTCCTACTATTCTTAGAACTGGTTTTCCCAGTGTTACACTTGACACCTAAATTTGCATGGAAACCTGCGGCCAATTCGGCATGAAGGATAAATAAAGGATAAAGCATTGCTGTTGATCAATCCCTTTTTGGGATGCGGCACAGCATTCTACTTCCATTTGTACATTCGCAGTGGCTTTTGAATGCGATTGGGGCCTATACAATGACTTGCGGGATTGTACAAGTCAGTGTTTTTTATCTCTAGACAAGGTCTGCCGTACCAATTAACCGACCCGGAGGATGGAAAGCTTGATTAGGCTCGGGCGACTCACGACCAGGATTTGATCCCCGACTGCTCGCGTGGTTAAGCGCCACTTGTTCACTACACCACTCCGCCCTTGGCAAAGGAAAAGAAAAATGAAATGAAAGGGAATCAACATACTTACCGAAATAGGATTGAAAAGGATAAATCTATTGGAAAAAACAGGAAGTCATAACTTGAATGGATCACCTACCTTGAGATCAAAAAAAGTCATTCAATATGTGCGAAGAAAAAGTTAAGATGTAATAGGCAAGCAGTATAGAAGCAAAAAGAGTATTGAATGGTACCATTAGCTCAAATTGCGCCACAAGTTACAGTGGGTGAATGGCCACTACTGTAATATCGCAGAACAACTAGTACATGTACCAAGACAGCACTTGCGTTCCCAGTCAGGTCGGAAGGTGTCGCATAACCAAAACTCTTTGGATCATTCTTAGTAGACATGAGTACTCCTTTATTACCCATCGTGGTATGAAAAAGTGCCGTATCTTGTGAAAGAGACCCAGAACGAAAACACACAATCTAGGGAAAACACCTTTTTTTCAGGTGACTTCAGGGCCGATTTATTCCATGAAAGTTGTCCAGGCACAGGAAAAAGATTACACCCAACTCTGACCATGAGTAGTTCTGCTTAACAGCCTAACTCTACTGATCCAGACCATCGTTCACACGAGGAAGAAAAGCCCACTTATTTCCTACATGTATCGGCGACGAGAATATCTCGAAGTCGATTTAGGCTGTGGGCGCTCAGTCCGGATAGGGCGGGGCATTGTGAATGCAACGCTATTAGCTGCCCCTCACCCCCACCCTGAACTGACTGTCACCTGGCCCTGGCGCACGGAGGTCCCGCTACTCAGAAAACCTGTGCGCCAGGGGGTATGTAGGCAGCTCTAGGGGGTGGGGCGTGAGGGCAGCCATTATGGCCCCCCACCGGTATGAGCGCCTAGGGTGTCTTTGGATGACAGTAACCGCCGCCTGCAGTGATAGAAGTTGCGGCGGATAAACTTTCTTCCAGCTGATTTCGTTGGACTGTAGACTACAGGTGTGGGAGTGGCTAGTGATACCAACAGCTCATCCTGTGGGCAAGCGATGCAGATTAAGAACACATCTTTTTCTCTGCATTGGCTAAAATTGCTGACAAGGTCATCTGAGGATATGCACGACGCTTATGTATCGTAAGCTCGAAGTCGTTGAGAGGACAAGTAAAAGAAATAATAAGTAAATGAGTGCTGCTGCGATTCGGAGTGGATTTATAAGTCTTCCGTGCTCGTTTAGGCAAATGCAGAGATGCGCCATGCCGCACTGATAATGAAATTCGAATTATCGAGTAGAAACCTTCAGCTATTGATGTACGGAGCTTCAGATACAGTCAGGACCCTTTCCTGACCCTCACGTTGCTGTTAGTCAAGTAGCTGCCAGACTTTGCGGACATCGCTAGCGAAACTTTGTGATTTGTTACCAATGCAAGGTAGCAAGTTTCGCCTCACGCAGCTTACGCTCTAGCTGTATAGGCCCACTCTCGCAGAAGGCTCGCGTGCAGTTTAAAGTGCGTGTCCACCGTATTCGTTTGGGACATGCGTTTGCGGAAAGCCAGCGAAGTTCCGTTAAATCTTTACGGATTCAATCAAGTGTGCACTTTCTGGAGCACCCTGCGAATTCCGCACTGTGATCTCGAAACGCTGAGCAGCGTTTCCGTTATCGCCACTGCTGATTTCCGCTACACGACTTGCTGGAAATAAGCCAAATCATCTGAAAGAGCTTATCCACGCGGACCTCCACAGAGTGCTGCGACGCCGCCACACCAGATCTATAGCTCTTCAGCGACGAGATATACAGGTCGGGTATGCGAAAGTTGGAGGGTTAGGCGTGCGTACCGGAAATTGACATTGCGTGATAGAAGGTGCTCCGTGGATAAGCTGTTGCCAGCCTGCTTTGCTGGTATCCAGCGATGTATGTTGGAAGCAGCTTATCCACATAGCTTTTATCGAGGGTTCGTCACTTCCGGTGACAGGCTTACCCCAACTCTCGGAGATCGAGTATAGACTGTATGGACTGAACTATGTATGTACGATATTTCGCACACCTAAGCATCGCTGTGAAAATATTAGCTAAAAACATCTCGCACTCGTCTAATAAATCTGTCGATTCATGCCGGACTTTGAATTTGCCTTTCTATTCCTAAGCGATGAAAGATCAAATTCTAATATTTGTTCTCTTTAAAAATACAATAACTCGTCCATACGAGAATTTTCAAATCCAATAACACAGGAGCGTAAAAAAAGAACGGCTTATTACGACCAAATATGTACATCATATACGCACAGCAATGATACTTGTTGAAACCAACTGCAGTACCAGCTGCTTGAGAACGAGTGGTGAAAATCCTCGTTTCGATGAGATTCAATGATTAGTCGACCAGATAAAATTATTAGAAGATCAGGAAAGAACAGAATGATTAAGACTACCGCTAAACAGAGCAAATATGCTAAAAAAAATCAGTACAACAATGTTCATCGAGGTGTTTGAATTGCATTCATTGGAAGACTTGGTATGTGAAGAGGTTAGTTCACGATACAACCTATTGACCGGAATCATAAAAAATCATTTCAACGAAAAACACACGTATAGAGTTCGATCTCACTGCAATACATTATCATTAGGGGAAACGTAGAATCACAACAATCACCTTCGTCCAGCGCATTTGCGTCTTAGAATATCCAAAGATTTAGACTCACACCTCATTCTAAAGGAGCAATCAATATCTGTCAATCAACTGGGCTTGAACGAAGTGATACGCTCAGGAGGAACGCTTTATACTTACACGCTTTATAAAGAATAACCGGCTGCATTTAGGCGGTTGTGCCACAACGGTTTAGCAATTGAACCCTATGAGTTTGTGGCAAGAGCAATGTCGTGCTACCGACTTTCTGTATTGGTAATGGAGCTTGATTCGGAATTGATCCCACAGTCACTGTCTGACGACTGCATTGTTTGACGAAGGAAGATAGCCAGGAGGGGGGGGGGGGGGGGGGGGGGGGGGGGGGGGGGGGGGTGATGTTGAAAAAGACCTTGAAGTTGAGAGTTTACACAACAGTGCAAGAGCAGAAGCTGCCTGGCGAAACCGCGACGCACCAAGAGCCTGTTGGCGAATAGTGGAATCGAGTGGACGGGAAGTCGTATCTGAACCAAGAGTAAATGGATCGAAAACGAATCGATCAAGGTCTAGCTATTCACAAAAAACCATCAATTTTGACAAAATGGATTAAGGGAACTTCTGCGTTGTTTTTTTAATTCTCACAGAAGGAAATTCTGCGTGTTTTTAAAATCAGCAGAAAACCCTTACAGCACAAATGACCTATTTTTGCCAGCTAGAAAGCTTAAAGAATGTATGCTCCGGTAAGAGGACACCATTAATGCGCGGCAACCGGTCCGCGCTGAAGCAACACGACTTCGCTGGGTCGGGTTACCGCAACCCCCCAACTCTTCTCCAACGCCACTACACCACTGACTGAATGGCGAATTTCATTGTGATTTCCATTATAATAAGCCTGCAGGGAAATTTCACGGCTTTGGAAGTTATCAAGCTTATGTTTTTTGACGAAAAAAATACCTTTTAGAACTGTTCGTCGCGCGAGTCTATGTTGATTCCAATGTGTATAAATTCTCAAATTGTTTATTACACATTAGAAAAAAAAGTGACAAAAATGAGAAACACCCACAACGAATGAACAAGCCGCTCCAGCAAAGAAGTCTGGCCTTGATTCGGAAAGTTGCTTCTAACTAGCGTTCTGTGTGACTTCAGTATAAACCACAAAAATTCCAAGAAAACCAGGATTTTCCTGGTTTTCGAATTTTGGAGTTTTTTTTTTTCGAAAAGCATGTGTAACCTTTTGGATTCTTTTGAAATAAGTTGGTGGCCTGCTATGTGTTATATAACTTTTGACGTAGTTCTTGTGCTGCCTGAAGTATTGAGGCTTTATTTTCATTGACTTTCAAGTTAGGCTCGTTCCATGTGCCCCAGACACATTCAAAAGGAAGAGTACTCCGTCGAAGCAAGGACGAGCTGTTACGGTTTTGGTGAGGGACATTCCCTACCTAAGAAGTTGCCCCTGCAACTCAACTTGTAGTGCCCGTGAATGAGCGTTTTCGTGGCAGGACGTCGATCGTAACGTCGGCTCGAACACCATTCAACTGGGCTTCGTTGGCAAGCAGTCAAGTTTCGACCAGCTAAGGTCCACGTGAGAGCAGCGTCAGCGCCTAGCTTCAAAGTGATATGCTATTAACAAGGCTCATCACCAGAAAATGAATGCACAAATTTTCCGATTAAGGTTTAAGAAACTTTCGACTTCTGCCGCGCGTTCGGGCTTATCACTCTGTCACGCCTCCGGCGGCGCTTGGCATTACCCTACCATCCTTCTGTGACGACGGGCTCAGCCAATGCGTATCTTGTTAACACGTTGACGACCGTGTGGTATGGATGTCACTCCACTGTTTCGGCCCACGCGGGACCGTGTGTACATGATGTCATGTCATCAGTCTTTTTTTTGAGGCTGGTTTCAACACATTTTAGGTAATTATTTACGTGATGGTATTGCGGCCATACTTACGCAATTGTTACAAAGGAGGTGTGGTCCGTAGAAAAGAACTTCGGTGATGCATCGAGTTTTTTGCTAGCGAATGTTTTGAATAATGGTCAAATCAAAGAATGCTAACCAATGGCCAAAGTCGTATAATCGAAGACCTACCACACAAAGAAAATAACAAACACTATTTCCTGAGTCAAACGGAATTCCTTGTGGGACTCGTTTGACAAAGGTGCCAAGTCACACTCGCGCGTTCAAAATAATGCGCGTGTCCCACATCGAGCCAGACACGCGACCAATAGCGCGGTCGCTCAACGTGTTAGAGAAGTCATCTCTTAGCCCTCTTGCATGTCCGTGACAATGCGCTCAGTCGAGGAATGGGACATCCACTAAGCCAGCTTGTGCAGCTCGCCCTAACTGATGCCATGTGTCGTGCTGAAGTGTATTGAGGCCTGTCCTTGTTTACGCTGAGGATCGCCAGTGGATCTAAACGGTAAGCTAGCGCGAGGCGATCACTATAAGACATCAAGTCGACGTCTTACGCGGTCCCAAAAGTTCGAGTTTGGAAAATCTCCCTGCGAACCGTTTATTCCATTCGTCTTCCTTCGTTCATGAAGGGACTGTGGGAAATTTGTGCTTGCAAAAAATGAGACCTATGCTAAGGTTCACAGCTAATAGCATACCTGAAGTTGCCCGTACATGTCCCCCTTTATCAAGTGCACAAGCCATCATTGATAAAGCCAATCCATAGCCTATAAAATGAAGGACTGTTGAGACTTTCCTAGCAGCCTAGAAACAGGTCCTACTTCGCCGAAAAGATATAGCTCCAACTATTCCGCACTCCACAACTTTTGAAGAGTAAAAATGCGCAACCCTAATGCTACTTTAAGGCTGCGTGGGTGTCTGCTTTGCAAGATTAAACAGTCTCTCATTAAGCGAGAAGAAAACTAACCACAGCGTTGAAGTCGAGTACAACCTAAGTTCTTTTCCTAGAGGGTTTTGTGATTATTGAGCTTTATTTCAAAATTGAGGGCATTTTGTTTTCAAGAAGTTTCTTGCACCTGCCTAAAACCTTCTCCTCAATCCAACGTGAAACTTGTTCGACCTGTCTCTCACTAAAGGCCGGTGGTAAGCTGAACGCCCGGACCACTTTCGTTGTGCCACAAGTCAAAAAATCGATACTCAGTTCCGAGTTCCGGCAGAATCGTTGTACTATTTTACCCTGTTTGATGCACTACGGGCATAGAACACATGGTATTGAAATATTGCCAAATATCCTCCTATATATAACGCGGCTAGCGTGTGCCTGTGGTGTGTGTGTTTTTGCCGCAAAATTCATAGCTCGAACCTCACAGTAACGATAGCGCAGGATTGGGTTCTTACGTATGTTAAATCAGGGGTGGATGGGGACATAATGGTACGTGATGGAACTGAGTAACGACCACTGATAATAGCTGGATATAGAAGCTAGAAAAGCGAGCATCGCCAATTTCGTTTTGCCGTTCATATTGGTAAAAGACGCATCTATGACTTAACAACTCTATGTGGGGCGGTCCCAGGGACATTGGTGGTACATTGATTGGGAGCGATAAGCAACTGATAATGGTTAAGATGCCCAGAACGCTGAAAAGTCGTCGATTCCGCCTGGCTCGCGTTGACACCAGAAGCAACATAGTACTTACAAGTGTTTATGTGGGGTGGACGGGAATCGGTGGTGTGATGACGAAAGCATAGCCAGCTGATCAGGGCTGATAAAGTGCGTCAAAAAATCGAAAGTCGCCAAATTCGGTTACGGCAGCGTTGACACTTGAGCGTTTCCTACCTACACATTGTATCTTACTTAATAGAATTCATTCGACTGCATGAACTAAACAAGTCCTCAGGAAAATGATAAACCATCTCTGATGCACTAGGATCGAAGAAAACACCAAACTACTTAAACCGCATTTGAGACCTGACGGACAAGAAATCTATTCACGCGCTCGATTATCCTAATTCATAGAAAATACTTTGATGTTTACAGAGTTGCGATCCAATACCAGTCCAACGCAGTGTGGATGGTCTACCATAGTTCAATAAGTGAGATGGTGAATGGAGTATCTCATGCCGAATATTACATGGGTCTTTTCAGTTCGCAAACCTGCCGTGTGATCGCGCCGATAAGCGGCCGAAGCACATGGTAGCTGATAAGGCGAATAAGGGTAGCGCTTTCCGTCAGCTAAACGTTTCCCGCGAGACAACACCTTCGCAATATAGCGATCGTTGCATCGCGTGACCCGATTAACGATTGTCGAATCTAGGATGTTCGCCGTCGGACCATGCGTTGTGGTTGAGGAAGCGTACATCTCAGAGATGAATGGCTTACTCGGTCTCTTCAGAGCTCCCAAAAACCAGAGATGGAAACTATTCTTTTGCATTTGTCCAGCATTTTACTGTCTTTGTGGTTCTCCGAGGGGAGTCACTACTGACATCGCTCTGGTTGGCATGGCCGAACTCAGCTTACCGTGCCCCGCCTGGAACGACTCAGATCCTTCCTGTTAAGAGCGCCGAGCAAAGACACACTGTTTCCCTATGCCGACCCATCCGGCCACAGCATATCGTGTTGATGTCTTAGAGCTTCTACCGACAGGATACCCATTGACGGTGAACGATGGGTTTCTAGTAGCTTATCTGAAGCTCAATGTAGGTCCTTGTGGAAATAGTGGGCGACCCCTTGGGCGCCGGGTTATTACAAGTACCAACAATTGAGCTGGCGTACCCTGGCGTTAAGCCATATAGCATTGTAGCGAGCTTAAAAGAATCCTTCAGCTATCCTATTTAATTTTCAAAAGACAATCGCTGGCATTTAAAGGAATGTCGATTAAAAAAAACACTTCTCACTTAACGCAAATACAAGAACATAGGCGGGGGTGTGCAAGGATGAAGGGGTTATTTAGAGAGTCGCCATTCACGATTTTTTTTTAGCCAGCGCTACCACAATGTGCTGACGCGACGGTTGACCATAGACTCTTACCCATTACATCAAGTTATTGAGTGCGACACCAGGTCCTGAGAAGATCATCGGTTTGATGTATTACAAAAGCGGGCCACCCACTACCAAATGGTCAGCTTTGTATTCAAAAATTTACCAAAAAAACAAAGCAGTTAGAGGCCGAGGCTACACCAACAATTCGACTAATTGATTGGCCAGATATTGAAACTTGTGGAAGACATTTTTCGCTTTTGTAAGCCTCAACATTGTTTCAAACAAAGTGCGTTATATTGGACCCACATAAACGGATCACGAGTGAACCTAATGTCTCACAAAAGCTGAAGCGTATGGCAGCTTTCACAGGCTGAGGCGAAAACATAAACAAGCAAAACGACACAACAGACGGGACACGGCATCACTTACCATACAACGGCAGCAGCCGGACGCCAACCTTGGAGCGAGTTACTGGCCCGATCAAGCGGCCCATTGCGCGTCGAATGCCGGATGCTCCAAAATGACTCTCGTAAGACGATGTCTTTCATTTGCGGCATTGCTTAAGTAAGGAAATCATTACGTTGACTGAAAGAAACTCCAGAAAGTACTTCTGATTTATATCATGGCGAACAGAAATTCATAAATATATCAAGTGGGCAAACTTACGGCAACAACAAATTGTCGTAAAAATGCGATGTAGTCGAGGTTCCTGATTGACAATACCATCACATTGGTGTAAGGCCTCCAAACAGAAACAGTATTCGCTCCTTGCAAATGAGCCTGTCTTCTGCGTTATATCAAAACGACCGATCCTTAAAAGCCATGGACCTGTTTTGTGAATGTAGGTATTGTCGAGGTCCGAGGCCTTTGTAGAGGCGAAGTGCTCTACCTGCCCTGATGTTTGCAATGTGTAGCAGTGCGCCCCTCGCCACGCTCCGATACAGAGCAATAGGATGAAGTTGGGAAGCTTACGTTGCTTTTATCCATCAATCGAGGTAGAAAGTCTCGAGATTGCGTCTTACTATCGCAGTTCCATCTTGGGCAGCAGAGACCCGAGTATCTTCCAAAACTCGTGATTCTCCCCTTGCGATTTCTGCGAAAAAAACCATCACTGAATAGCCTTTGCTTGATCTTTCACCTACCAATAGATCATGGTTCTTATTCGAGACCAGGCCGACAGCAGACCAGTCTTTCCCTAAGAGTAAGCGATCGATCGACGAAGCTCAACACGAAAAAATGGTATGTCTTTTGCATATTTGCTTTCTAATTCAACTTGCTGCGCAACGCTTGCAGCAATAAGTTAGGCATTTTATGCTTTGAACTTTTGTCTAATAGATGTTGTAGACAAGAAGTGCGGTTCGAGCAATTTCAAACGACCAAATGTTGGATTGAGCGACTGTTTCCAGCGCTCTCCTTGTTATCTCGAGAAAGGCCTCGCGGCAACCGCAAATAGTGGATTCCTCACGCTGGCGCCATGGTGCTCGATAAATAGGTATAAGGAACGTTGTAATGAATGGTCGAGCGAAGTTTAAGGAGCCGTCTGAATCGTTTTAGGCTGGTGTCAGAGTCCCGCGAGTTCGATTTGCGCGATTTCTGCGATTTGCGCGATTTCTCGATTTGACGCGATTTTCGCGATTTGCGCGATTTTCGCGGATCTTGCGCGACGGGTCACGGGAAATTACAAGTGCCCCATCCATACTGCAAGGTGTTCTCCAATCCCGCGTCACTGTCCTTGCTTGATGGTTATGGTTTTTAATGGACACTGGCTCAAATGATTCCACTTGTTTCATCCCAGTGTTTCATTGTGTCAAATGGGCAGTTGCAATTTTTGTGATTGGTTTGGTTTGATTCCTGAAAAAGAACGATTCCAAATGAAGCCATTTCAATGAACTAATAGAAACATTGAACATGAACAAGTAGATACCACAACATTCGTCTTCATCTTTTACTCCAAGTCAGAATTAGGAGCAGGTTAAAAAACACCTTCGCAGTATTTCATTGGCAATTCAACCTGTGATTCCATACGCAGTTTTCAGCGAAAAATCGCGAAATTCGCGATTCTAAATGCGAAACTCGCGGCTCTGACACAAGCCTGTAGCAATGTAACACATCAGAACAAACGTTCATAACTGTCAGAAAATGATATGAGTTATGTTCAAAAAATATTGTATTTTTGACTTTCTGCCGACAAGAGATAAGTCTAAAGTAAACTCTAAGTAGCTGAGTGAAAACCAACCCGATCGGCGTAGGTGCACAGCTGCATTCGAAAACCAAAATTAGGATTTATCACAGGCCGTTTGCGCGATATAAGCGAAAGTGCATTTATAAATGATAGGTCGCAGACAGTGATCAGATATGCGGCTACCACAGTCGCACTCCGTGAAACGCCGGCGAGGCAGTGGACGAGCACCGCTGCTGAAAAAATACTTGTGAAAAAATATTATCACTCCATCACTTGAGGAAGCGGTATAAAACGAAACGGCTCACAAACCATGTTTCAACCTAGCGCCGTGAATAAACTGATTCGTGACCGAAAAATGTGATGAAATATCAGAAGATGAGCAGTCCGAAAGCTGTATTTTCAGCACCTTAATTCCTGAGATAATTTTCCGGTGGTGCAAACTCAGTCAGTCGAAGTTATCTCAATAAGTGCACATTAATGCAGGGCAATAATCTTAAAAATGAACAACCTTCAGCTGGTCGTGGGCCGGATGACTGGCTGTCAAGTCATGCACAGAAACAACATACTGAAAGAGATAGTCATTCATTCAAATACTTTCCGATGTTACAAAGAGAACAGGTTATAGCGCGGTCCAAAAAAGATCCTATTCATACGTACGTGGAAGAATCATATGTGGCCATAAGATAGTAAGGACTATGTGTCCTGCCCTTCTATGCGCACAAGGGCAAAGCATTCCAAAAAGGATCTGCGCGCTATACTAAGACTTCGTGTGCACAATCTGACAGCAAAAAAAATCCGCGCAACCAATTACAACCCCAAATACTATAGAAGTATTTTGAAGATTCACCACAAATATGAAGACTGCTGTAGCCCAATTCGCAAGATTACAAGGGAAATGACGAGTCTGCTTTCTTGCGAGTTGAAGAAAGTATTGAGAAAAACTCACTTTTATGCGATGCTTTTTAAGTTGGTCGGTATCAGTTGCATCGCGTAGGCTTCCAAGATACAAATTAGGTATGATTTCGTTCATTTCCGTACCTAAACCATGGACATAAGTGCATATCACAGAGTGACTTAACAATTCCCACCAAGCCTGTTTCTAAATCTAGACAGCGAAAATATTGCATTAGTTCGAGGCGAAGAGGACGATGGGCTCAATACAGGACCGACTCTTCCACAAGGCGAAGTCGAGTCAATCACCAGCGATGTATCACTGGTGACCATGTTAGCGTGAAAAGTAAACCTGCAATTTGTGAAGTCACCTTCAATTAAATTATTCTTTTGCGAATAAGGGGGGAAGAGAGAGAGTTGGGAAACGGGAGAATTACGTAAGTGAAACCCTTTAGATAAATGACGCATACAACAGTTGAGAGGCTCGTGAAAATTCTCATAATGAATTCGAAAATATAAGTCAACTACTCTAAAAATCGAAGAGTACTAACAATAAAGACCCATCCTAGGTGGTTCTACAGAAAGAAATCCCTACAAAATTGGTACCGGGAGCTTTCTATGAGCCTATTAGCCGGCTTTATGAGTGCAATCGTACTGAATTAGAGGGCGATAGTGCAAATGATAGAGAACCCTCTTCTCCTAAGACCATTTACGCTTATGTACTCTTAGAAGCCGTCAATAATTCTTAAGAAGAATTCAACTGTTTAGTTAAGATCTCTTTGAAACCAAAGACATGCATCCGACAATAAGCTTTATGGCACAACCATAACTCTCACTATTGCACAATGGTGAAAATGTGGCTCGATGCCATGCAGCGCCATAATGGAAAAGTTCCTCTGCACAAGTTAAAAGATTTTTGCGATAACATGACGATCATGAAGGTGGTGTTTTACCTTCAGTGAGCTTAATTTGTGCCTATCTTTTGCAGTAAGGGTATTGTCGAAGGGACAGCAAGAAGTTCTTTTGTTGAGTAAAACTTGGTATGTTCGTACGCAGAAAGTTGATTATACATTTGCTGTTAGCAATCACTGTTACACAACTCAAAAAAAACCATCTTGATTTGATTTGTGAATTCTAGAAAGGAAGGAAGAAATCTTTAGAGCCTCCTCCAGAATTCCTCTCCAACCGAACAGCAAAAAAATTTACGCTTGGTTCAAAGGCAATCAGTAGAGATTTGAGTCGAACGGAGTCTCAATAGTTCCGTGTTGAGTTCCATCACTTTTGGCATATCTGCTGAGACGTTTTTTCCAGGACACAAAAAATCATATCGTCGCGAACGTGCTGAGAGTGCCAAGGTGCATCAAGAATCTATCCAATGCTTCCGCAAAAATAACCTTTTTCCTGATTTCTTTTTGAGTCTGCACTCTCAAAGAAGGTCCACATTGAATGCAAAACTACAAGTGCAAGATAAACTAGAGCGGTTGTTACCACGTAGGGCGAGAACCCAAACCAGAATAACAGTAATATCAACAATATTTAATTTAATCTTGCAGTAACAAGTGAACAAGTCGTCAATAAAAAATTCTTATACAAAAATCAACAACAATAACAATAACAGCAACAAGTATCCAACATGTGTGAAACTCAAAAAGTATACCTTATCTGAATTTGAGTTGAACATCTGAAAGTAGTTCAGTATAACAATTGGGCTACATCAATCTGATTTTAGCATGATTACAAAATAACGAATAGACTTATGGCAATTAACTCAAAACAAATATAACAAAAAAACCAATCGATAAGAACGACTACTATGTCTAACATTAAAGGCAATTCAAACGTTTTCGAGGTCTTCCACCTCCTCCGAGATTCATCTGGAGGTACTTCTCGGCTTCTCTCGAAGCTAGGAAGAAAACCAATAAAAAAATCAACAAACACACAGAGCATGTGAAAAGCAAACCACTAAATTACTGTACTACAATGGGATACAGGTCGGAAGCGCACGAAAATAAACAGACAACTTTCGGATCCTTTCAAACTTTTTCGCATGTTTTTGGACGAGGCACATCTCAAGGCAATCCTCTGTTTTGCTTTCACTTGTTAGGTAAGCAAACCCGTATATGTAACTCACTTAACAGACGCCGATGTATTATTTTGCGTGCGCCACCCTATGTGGCGCACGCTCCACTCCTAGCGTGAGGGTGGTAAGTGATATGGTTGAACAGCAGTGGTAAGACCGGGCTAAGTAGGTGTTGGAGTTCTCGATTCATTCCGAAAAAAAGAGATTTCCGCTACAGACTAACTTCTGAGCCCCGCCTTTTCAGCTCTAAAATTAGGGTGCAAGAGATGAATGGAAAGCTGGGTGATCATTATTGGCAAAAATTGCGAAACAACAACCCGAGATCAGGATGTGGCTATATTTATGGGAAAGGGTCGTCGGGACTGGCAACTCATGCGGTAAGACCACCAATAAATAGTAAATTATATATTAAACCCGTTGGCGCCGCTACGCATTGCGCTAGCGGCAACACAGTATCTGTGCGCGACATTTTGATTGCTGCGATACGGATAATTTTTAAATTTGGCTGATACAGACGAAATCGAAGTTTTCCGCATAAATTCCATCCGCTCTTCTTCGTCAACCATTTATCTCTTATCTCGTCCTCGGCCGGAATAAATCTCGCGTGCCAAACTCCGTCTATCGCTGTGTTCCCTGCGCCACCAACACCATTTGGCTCCTTCTTTTTCGCACCTCACCCCCTTTTCTCCCGTGTCTCTGGGAGCTCTTTGAACCAAATACGACACTTTTGGCAAACTTCGGCCACTGAGGGCGTGCTCCTACCGAATAATAGCATTGAGCTCTTTTTCCTCACCACCCTCTAACCCGTTTTCCCCTATCTCTAGACCTATTGCAACGGAATTGCGACACTTTTGGCAAATCCCGCCCTACATTAGGTGCGTGCTCTACGCCACTATACAATCGACCTCCTTTCCTTCGCGACCTCTACTCCCTTTTGCCAGTCATCCGGGGCCGGGGGGTACTTTCATGGAGCCGAGTGATGAATTGTTCGTCGCAGACTCCGCCACTTGGTCAAGCCCCGCCGACCATTTTGCCCTTTTCTCCCACTTCACCACCCAACTCATATCTTCTTTTTCCACACTCTCGGGACCCTTCTGGAACGAGCTTGAATTTTTGTCGCAAAACTCCCCACTTTGGGCAAGCTCCCCACCGATGCAGCTGTGGCCTTCACTCCGCCACCTCACCCTCTCATTCTACCTGTATCTCCGGCCTCGGTACTTCATGGAGCGAGTTTTTGATATTTTCGGCGAAACTCCGCCACTTTGGTCAGCGCCCGCGCCACCAATGATAGCTGGCTCCATTCCTCCACCCTTCTCCATCCTCCTTTTCTCAACCTCGGAGCTTCATGATCCGATTATGTATTTCCGTCGCAACTCCGTCCACTTGGTCAGGCCTCCGCCCACCAATGATAGCTGGCCTCCACTCCTCCATACACCGTCTATCACTTGTTTTCCGCTTTTAGGACTTCTCCCGACCGAATTATGAGGGCAGTAGAAAATGCTGTATCACTTCAGATGCGCGCCCCGCCCATTTGGCAGGCCTGCCGCCAATCATGTATGAGGGAAACACCTGAGACATTGCTCCGTACACTAAATTGTTTTCTGCTCTGTAGCTTTCTCTCCAACCGAGATTATGAAATTTTATAAAGCACTGCTTATTTGCGAGAACGCCCGCCCACTCGGGGTGGGTCTTCCTAGTTCGATGTTACTTACCAATTGACACCTACCCACTTTTTTGGCCCAGTTTCGAGTCCGTTTGTTCACTGAAATCGAAACTTGTCTTTGAATTCATTTCGACACGCCCGCCCTCTGTGGCGGGCCTCCCGATTAGTATGTGTGTTTTGTATTACGCAGACCTTCTGCTCACACACTATCCCACACTTGACCGTCCGTCCAGGCGGATCCCTGAGGATGCTAGGAATATTCGTACCAAGACAGACAAACACAGACGACAGACGATCGACAGGGACGAAGCGCTTTATAGTTCAGTAGGATGAGACAAAATTGTATGTAAAACTTATTGTAGGTTTTGTCGAAATTCAGCCGTCCATGTCTTGAAGATATTATTCCACATTTGCTGAAGTATATATGGGATTCATTAAGAGTTGCTAGAAACATTCCAAAAACAAAAGAAATAGTCTGCGCACTTTGTGGCGCACGCCGGCCGTTTTATGGCTTAAACATTTTCTATTGTTCAAACCAAAATCTTGGATTACAGCTTTGTTTCAATAAGCAATGTTACAGAAATGAAGGGCGAAAGCCTGTTTGCTCCATGAATACCAGAGCTGCTACATGAATGCATTCTTACGACAATTTGAATCCGTGCACTGCCGGAGAAAATAAAAATAAGATGACTCCGTTCTCTTTTCTACATGTATCTTCGGTCTTATTCGAATGACATGCCTTATCCGAAACGCCTTCATTGAACGCTTTCAAGCAAGTGGGGATTAGCATCGGTTTCTACTGTTCTCATTGGTCTTTATGCTCCTTCAGTGCATTTCTGTACGTGTTGGCATGGTGAAAGTGAATTAGATGCGACACCGGTCAAGTTCAGGGTCAAGACCCGTTGAGAAATTTCATAAATCAAAAATACTCTCCTTGGACGGGGTTTCCCAGCGGCCCTTCTACTAACTCTCATGATGGCGGCCTCCCCCCTTACATGTCAAACCAACATAAAACTTTGCAAAATTGCCTCTAGCGAAGAGAATAAATCTACGCCCATTGCGAGAATTTTCAAGCAGGGTGGTAAAAATTCCTCGAAAAAAAAACAATCGCATGACCAGCCCACTGCAAGATCTCTCCAAAACATTAAACACTTTGGATCCTCATGCAGCAATATTATGGGCTGCAGTCCCGTCACCGGCGCACCCTAGACCTCATAGTTTGACAACAAGGATCGTTTTTTCTTTTGTTGCTTCTTCTATTTTATGCATATGATTTCATTAATCACTTGAATAGGCTTGTCTCAATTTCTTTAATAAACTGAAAAACCTCACTGAGATCCAGGCGCGAGAAGAACGTAAAACTTAGCGCGTGCCTCTCAATTGTGTTAACTACATCGTTATCAAAGAATCCAAAGTAAACGTTTTCCATTGTAAATTCCAAGCCCGGTGGACTCAAGTCCCTAAGTTGGTCACTTCATGAAATGTTTCGTTGTTTGACGTGTTTTTGGTTGCTTCAGCTGCTGTTTTTCGCCGCAGTTCGCCTTACGGAATGGTCCACAAGTATGCGGGGGCGGAACTCAAAACAACCCCAGCAGTGACTAGAACTCGCAACTCTTCCATTTCAAGTGGGCAAGTGCACTACCAGTTTTACGTATCCGTGGCACCATTTCATCCCAATCAGGTTGATGTTTCGTTTTTACTATTAGATGACAAAGCTCACCGATGCATATATATGCCAGGGCATCAAACAAGAGATAAAAGAGCGAAAATCGAACTTAAAGTTTCCAAAATTCTGAAGACGAAGGTGCCGTTGTAATTGTGGACATCGAAGGAACGCAACGTACCAAGAAGGCGAACCATATGTTGCGATATTCGTCGTGTTACGTGACAATTCCATAATCGTGAACGAACGAAGAAAAGCTAGCAAATGTGCTACTATATTCCTCACTTTGATCCGAAAATGCACATAAAAAAACCTGACGATAGAGAGAATTGACGGAATTCGCTTACCTTGGCCGAACTAGTATGAGTAATTCAACCATATTTCCTATAAGGTAATAAATAGGAATTTTGAAAATTGGTTCTAAAAACAACTTGTGCGGTTTAGAAGGAAGAGTATGAGTTTTGACAAAGATATAAACGCAGTCTTCTATTTGTATGACCAAATCTAGGGTGACAGCCAAACTAACTCAAGGTGAGCAGTAAATTTTAAATCAACTCCAGAGTAAATCCATGACATATCGTCACATTCACTAAAACTTATAGTCTGGACAACAAAAGGAAGAGTTTCTCCTGGGCCGTAAGGTATGCTTTTCCCGAAGGGTGCAGGGACGGAAAGTTCTTTTAATTTTTTCTGTTAGTCCAAACAGATTGTCCTGATAAAGGGCCTACATCTAATATATGTGTGTAGCGTAAAGTAAGCATGGCATTGAATAAAGAAACCAGTATCGTTCCAAACATCAAACTTTAAAGGGACTATTCATCCGCAACATTCGGGAGCATACCTGGACGGCCCCTACTTCAACGCCTAACCTGACGGTCCTTAACTCAAAGACAATATAACGCCGACCTTTCGTCGCCAAACCGTGCTCGGCGTCCATCCACTTCCGGAACAAGCGGCCGTATTTGTGCCATACTAAGTTTCAGGGCACATGCTGGTTCCAACACTTGGCTGAAGTTGATCGACAATTATATTAAGAAGTTCTGCCATAGAATATTATATTGAAGGTGACAGGAAGCCATAGTGTTTTCCTTGCGACACAAAAAATTGTGGTCTACCGAGCCAGTCTCAAATTCCGAGTGTTTAGACAAAATCGATAACCAGCCAAACATCTGTTTTCTTTGGGATAAGCAGTTACTAAAAAATGCTGAATTGACCAGTGATTCACAGACTCACATTCGTTTATGAAATTTTCGAAATTTTCGCCCAACAGCACAGCCTGTAGGATTGCGAAAATAGAGTTCTACATTGTGCCATACAAAGCCTCATGCCGTTGAAGCCAGTACGACTACGAGTGCCCAACGCGCTTTCTTTTAAGAGCTTAAAAATTTTCATATGTATTTTAAGATAGAACCTTTGCAGTGTGGGGGTGGAAGTCCGAGGGAGCACGAGTCGGATAGCCCAATTCGATCAATTTTTGTAGGGAGTTGCGCAACGTTGCCGCGCAGCGTTATCGTGGAGAAGATCGTGTAATCTTTCGGCTTGACCAATTAGGGCAGACCTGAAATCCGATTGATCTCTTACATGGAGTCGTTGTTGCTGTTATTAGATTCTCCTTATTCAGCAAGCTGGGGTTGATATTCTGCAAGACCAAACGTCAGAGTCTTACTCTGGTGCAGCTGGCTTTATGAAATGTTTTAAGAGCTTTACGCGATCACCAGCGGTCTTTTGTTTGTCGTTCTGAGCGTGTTCCTACTTTATATACTATAAGAAAACTGTACTCTCATACTCGTATAAAATAAGCGTTTAAGCAATGCTCACCTCATCAAAAAACAATGTCCGTTCGGAATATTCCCTCTTTCTGTGTCAATATACGTAAAACTTAGCGGAGAGAAATTTCCAAGCGCCATTTTCTTGCTTCCCTCAAATGTGC